GTGGATCTGTGAGCGCGAACTCGGGTGCGTGAGTCCCTGTGCGAGAGCCTGTGCACGTGGACTCAGGTGTGTGGAGCTGGTGTGCAAAAACCCTTAGCGGGTCTGTGCTTTTGGACTCGGGTGCATGGACCTGGGTGCTCCTTGGGCGGCTGTTTGGGCCCCACAAACATGTAGGCGGTTCTGGAGAGCTCTGTGTGCCTCCTTCTTGGGGGACCTCCAACCCCTCCCACAACCAGTGGACGGATTGTGGCCGCACCGACGCTGCAATGTCGCCAAAGAAAAACTGCGCGCGTCCAAGCCAGCTGCTTCAATCCTGGCGCGTGCGGGCCTCGCCGGGGTCTCCAGCCGGTGGGGTGGGCCTGCGGAGCCCTACCACCCCTCCGCACCAGTCTCCCGTTAGCCTGTGCGGGGTCCGGGAAGCGAGGGCCGGAGAGGACACTAGCGCGCAGTTCAGAGCGGTTCCTTGAGCAGTCTTCCCCCAGAGTTGCAACGTGGCTGCCCGAGGACCCCAAATAAAGACGCGGCCTCCTCACCCAGAGCCCTGCCAGATCGTCCTGGTGGACTGCGCCAGCTTTCAGGGTTTGCAAACTGAAGACCCGCTCGCGTGTCTTCAGAGCTCTCGGCGTGCTGTAAAGGAGGGTCTGAAGTCCCCCTGGCAGGAGAGCGCGCACTCGCAGCAGCCGCGGGACTGGCGCAGGTATCATCCTGGTCCCTGCAGGCCTTTCAGTTGGCGACCCTTTTCCTAGTGACTGCCCGAGGTGTGGAAGGCACAACGGGGCAGGGGATGTGGCCCGGGATTCCGGCTGCGGTCCCAGGCCGGCAGGAGCGGCAGCTGTCTTGGCACTAACGACGGTCCCTCGCGGGGAGCGCGGGCCGCCCTAATGAGGCTCCGCCGTGGCTCACCTGCTCCGACCCTTCCTTCGCCCGCGCCGCGCCCACCGGCGCCTGCTAATTGCTAAAGCCTGTGAGCCCCGCCCGCCGCCCAGATGGGGGAGTCGGGGACAGATGGGGTCCAGGCATGGGGGTAAGCACTAGGAGCGCCACCTAAGGGGGCCGGGGTGGGGGACAGGGGGTGGTAGCAGAGGGTTCCCGAGGCGGCAGCTGAGCCAGTGTTGGGACTGCTGGAGTGCGGGCCAGGTGGCCTCTTGGGGTGGGCCCTGGATTGCAACAACCTTGCCACCTTCCTTTACTGGCTGTGTCCCCTGCGCGAGTCACTTACTCTTTCTGTGCCTCAGTTTCCTTACTTGTAAGACAGGACAATAATAGCACCCTCCTCAAATGGTTGTAGTGAGAATGGAATGAATTGAGGCTCTCGAAGCTCTCTGTGTCCTGCCTTATCCCGGCTAAACCTCAGTCAACGCTAGCCGCCTCCTCTCCCAGCCTCCTCCACCTATTAATATCCTGTGTTCCCTGGAGGTTCAGCCGGGCCCTGACTCCCTCCTCCCAGCTTTGCCTCTTCAGTTCCTCGCTGCAGCCCTCCACCCCCACCCTCTTCCACAGACAAGCAGCCAGTAGCAATCACTGGGCCCTTAGAGGAGAGATAGGGAATAAGGATGTAGCTGTGGGTGATCCCCATCTCTGCCCTGCCTAGAATGGCCTCCTCACTGACAGGGAGTTGGGGCTTAGCCCCTGGGGTATAGCCCATGAGCTACTGGCTGCCTCCAAACCAGGGAGTGGCCATGCTCCCCCATGCTGTCCCACATCCCTCTCCCTAGTCAGGATGGAACTGAATACAGCAACCACTGCCGTGAACAGCCTGGCTTGATCCTGGCTTCCCTTACAGTTTTGCAGAGACTATAAATAAATGGTCACTCTCAGTGTAGGGCCCTTGTCAAAGACCTTATAACCCCTACTGGTACTATGGGGGCGCTTGTGGGGGGAAGGTGATACTAGGCACAAAATCTGTAATGAAAGTGTGACTTAAAATGACATGGCAGGTGGAGGGGGACTCCTTTGCCCCCTCCTAGATGAATTTCTCGGAAGCATCAAGGTGAATACTCAGTAGAAGTCCAGACAGATTGCTAGGTAGATTCTGCCCCAATGGGAGACAGACATTTTCCACCACTGGAGTAGTTTTATCCATAAGAGCATCTAGGGGGCTTTAAAATTCAATGCCCTGGCCCAGGAGCGCCTCACTGATCCCAGTCTGGGAATGAGAAGGGCAGGCCGCTGGTGGATGACTGTCAGCCCCAAATCACCATAGGTGTCCTTAGTACCCATGTCTTCCTACAGCCACATTAGAATCCCTGGCCTCACTGGGAGTGTGACACCTCTCTGGGTTCGCCTCACTCCTCTGCTCACTGCCTGTCCCCGAGGTGCAGAATTCCAACTCCATGAGCATTAGAGGTGAGTCCTTCAACACTGAGTCCAGGAGAGTGTCATTTCTCTGCGGCTCCTGCCCATGTGAGAGAGTGAGGAGCCCAGGGACAATGCCCTAGGGTGCTGAGGCCAGAGGAGGAGGCTCGGGTTCTGCCCACTGGCCCCTCAACCTCTGGTCAGCTGAGCTCCCAGGTTCTTTTCTTTCTTTCTTTTTTTTTTTTTGACAGAGTTTCATTCTTGTTGCCCAGGCTGGAGTGCAGTGGCACAATCTTGGCTTATTGCAACCTCCACCTCCTGGGTACAAGCAATTCTCCCGCCTCAGCCTCCGGAGTAGCTGGGATTACAGGCATGTGCCACCACACCCAGCTAATTTTGTATTTTTAATAGAGATGGAGTTTCTGCATTTTGGTCAGGCTGGTCTCGAACTCCTGACCTCAGGTGATCTGTCTGCCTCAGCCTCTCACAGTGCTGGGATTACAGCCTTGGGCCACTGTGCCCAGCCAGCTCCCAGGTTCTTAAGGAGGGTTGGGGAGTCTCAAAGACCTGGTGGGTGGTGAGTTCCTAAACTCAGAGGCTGAGAGCTGGGGCACTGCAGAGCCACACAGTGGCTGGGGCTGGGGAGTGGGGCTGGGGAGGAGGCTGAGCTGCAGTCCAGCCTGTTAAGAATCTCCCAACAAATGTTCCCCAGAGGGGACCTGCAGTGTGGCAGGGCAGCCTGCACCAGATCCCAGAAACTGTTACCTCTTTCCCTTCCCCTCTCGGTGAGGAGCCCACTACCAATGAAGAGCCCACCAAAGTCACAGTGGTTGCACACAGTCTCATCCTGTCCTACACCAAAGCCCAGCCACTGGCCTGAGTCCTCTACCTTGGCCCCCACCAGTCCAGGGCCACCCTCAGCGAGTAGCCACCTGCTCCTGGGGATGTGCACTGTGTGCGCTTGTGTGTGCCGCTGTCTTTCTCCCCTACATCCAGAGCTGCTCCAGTCTCACCCACCGTGGTCAAGGCCCCCAGCTGGGTGCACAGTTTAGGCAGCTGGCATGGAGGAGGGCCCAAAGCCTGGCTGGACACAGCCCCTCCTTCTTTGGAGGCCCTGGTCTTGCCTGACCTGGCTGGTGGCTGGTTGCTACTGAGAGCTTGGGTGCAGGGGTGTAGGGAAAGACTTGATTTATTGCCTTTCAACAACAATGAATGCAGACACCAAGCACGCTCAGAGCCTGCACCAGCACACCTGCCTGGCGGTGGGTGTGGAAGAGCCAAAACTGCCATCAAGACCACTACCCCCACCGGCCAGGTTCTGAGCTCCCGCTGGTCTATGTTCCAGCCTCCTGGAGTCCCTCTGAGTGTGTCTGCCGCAGCAGCTGGACCCAGTTTTGAATTCTTTTCAAGTTTCATTTCAAATGGGATTTCAGAATAAAAACGACTAGACCCTGCCCTCCCTTCTTCTTGGATTCACATGGTGCTATTGGGGTGGTGGTGGCAGGAGGCTTTCCAACCCTCCTCAGCCCCCAGCCACTCAGCCTCTCCAAATCCCTCCCAGCCTTTGCAAAAAGCCAAGCCCATTGGTGAAAAGCTAGGCCTCCAGCACCCGATCCCTGGGTGACTGCTATCCTGGCCAGGAGCCTGACATTCCCCGCTGGAGGACCAGGAAGTGCCTGTCCCCTGCTAGCGGATGGAGCAGTCTTCAAGTCTAAGCAAAGGGTGCCTGCCTGTGTCAGCCAGGCTCAGCAGTGCGACTCAAGAAATGGGGTTCTGACCAGGGAAATCTTCTGCACCCCCAGATCCAGGGTGGCCAGTGGCCACCAAAAATATTGTCAGAGAGAGGGCCCTGGACCAGGGGACGTTCTTACTGTGCCCATACCCGCTGTCTTTTCAGGGGCGCCTTCTCAGGCCAGCCCTGGGGTGGGGAGACTGTAACAGGATCTACCCTGGTCCTTGACCAGGAAGGCCAAAGTTTTTTTATTTCTACCCAGAATCCCTCTTCACAGCCACATCCTAAATTTGCATCGCGGGTTTGGATTGTGAGAACCCAATGGCCAAGAGGAGACAGAGGTGACCCCAGGAAGGAGCACGGAGGCCAAAGTGCTGCCAGTGCTCCTCCAGGCGGTGCGGAGCCCCTGATCCTTTGCAGTTCAAGGTGGAGGTGGCCGCTGGGGGAGGGTAGTGGAGATGGCTGAAAAGGAATGGAAGCGCTAGTGAATTCTGCACCAAGCACTCCCCAAGCGCTTTGCCGGGAACACCACCGCTCCGCAGAACCCAGGTCAGCAGCTGAAGCCAAGGAAACCCGTAAGGGGAGGGTGGTGGCGGGAGACCGCCTCTGAGCAGAAAGGAAATAAAAATCGAGCAGTAGAGGACTCCTGAGAGCCCAGACCCCCAGCCAAAGGCGCAGCCCTCACCCTGCAAGTCCCAAAGTCCAATGCTCCGGGAAGGAAATATCCGCTTATAAAGGAACTCAATACTCAACTGAAAGGAAAGGCAGTTCCGGGTTAGGCGTCAGAAAATAGAAATAAGGACAAACAAGTTGTGAAAAACACCCGGAGGATTTGCTCGGAACATGTTTGAAAGACAATGCATGTGTGTCTCTAGTTCCAAACTGGGGGAACGATTCCCAAATCCGGCCCCAAGGTATCGCGTCCTGAACCCCTTTTCCGGGTGGCACACGGATGGAAATCGCCCGAATTTACTTTAAATTTTATTTAAAATCTCAACACTCAGTCATTTATTTCGTTTTTGCAACCAAACAAGTAATAAATATTATTTAGCACTTTGTTTTTACAAAAATAAAACAGATGATACACTCTGCGAGGGGCGGTGCGATCAGAGAAAGGGTGTTACACGGCAGACGCTACAAAGCCCAGTTTGCCACGCAGGCAGCGCCGAGGCGGCTCGCACGGACGCAGGAAGCACGTGGAGGAGTTTACCATTTGTGTTAAACGTGGCAAAAATAAACCAAAATAGAGGAAAGCCGGCTTAGACTCCGGTGGGGCTGGCAGTCACGTGAACAAACAGCTTAGCATCGCGCACTTACCTCATCATTGATACATTTACACATCCAAAAAAGAAAAATTTAAAAAGCGGACAGAACCCCCAAATAACCCAAACTGTTTTCACAGCAACTGCGTCTTAATTCTGTTACATTCTTATGTACCCAAATAACCAAATCACTTTGTGCTTAGAGAAGGAAAGATGAGTCGGTGGGGTAGTTTCTATTTTAAAATAATAACTAAAATGCATCCGCCCCTGAAATCAGCAGTTTTGGGTTATTCCAATCCACAAGTGGTTCTACTCTGAATGTCTATAAACTTGCTCATACTGTTGAAGAAGGAACATCCACAGATTTATTAGAAAACCATATTCTCCCAAATCAACGAGAGACGGGGAGGAGCGCCACAGTTCTTAGAGGGTGTGGATTGACCCAGATATTGAGCTTGGGTATGACCATAAGCGCTTCTGATACCGAATGCCGGCTTCCAACTAACTTGTGTTCCCTGGCCTTGGGCCAGGGGCGACCCTGGAGGGCGCGGTCGGGCGGTTGCTTCTGCAGTGCGGCTACCCGGAGTCTCCCACAGGCCAAGAAAGGAGGAAGGGGAGTAAGTCCCCAACGTGTCCCCCTCCCACAACACCCTCTCCCCTACCAAGTGCTGCCCAGGCCGAGTCTGGAAGTCAGGCCATGCTCTCAGGGAAACACGTTTTTAGAATCTTTTTCCGGAGGTGGGGGTCGGGGGTCGGATGAGTTCTAGTGAGGAATGCACACAGCGGTACCTTTTCATAAAACGGTGTCTACTGGACCAGCGCAGGTTAAAGCCAGAGAGGGTTCGATCAGGTCCCGGAGCGAACATCCCCTCACTCCTCACTGCTCTGTGCGCGACCCCATTGCTCGGGTTCGCAGATGCTGGAGTCCCCTCCATCCCCCACCCCCAGTCCGTGGTCCTGCGCCCCTCCTCGCGACAGAGCTCCCGAGCCCAGCGCAGGCCAGTCCTCGCTTCCCCGCG